TATGCTTACATTAAAGATTTTGTACCTACTCCTTATGTGCCGTCCCCTGGTGAAGGTAAAAAAATGGTAATTTTTGCAAACAATAGTTTTCATATATTTAAGTTAATGTTAAAGTTTTGAATTTTCTATCGGATTTAGTTAAAAAAATATTAAGCCGTTTCCAGACTTTTTTGTCACCCTGTATATATAAACAAGGAACCTACAAAAGTTTTTCTCTATGAGAATAACACGGGAAGTTAAAATTTACAGTTGTTTTACAAGACACAAACAAACGAGACAATAATAATTTAAAACTTTCAGTTCGTTAAAAACAGCTCCTTTGTTTAGCCTAAAAATTGTGATTAGAATCGTCCCATCAATGTTTTAGAAGTTATTCAAACTTTATTTAAGATAGCTTTTAAACTTAAGTACCCTAAGAAAGTTTTACAAAGTTCTTCTAAACCTTTGTGAAGATCATTCTAAACAAACTATTGTCTTCTTAACCTTTCAAGACTTAAAACCCCTTTTATTTTGAGTAAATAGGCAGTCAACAGTCATTATGTGTATGTTAAAAAAATATTTACATAAACAAACGTAAATATTTTCCCCTTTCTTACTGAAATAAATTACTTTATCGCTAAATTCAAGAAAATACAGTTACTGGTATTCGTCTTCAACTTTGAAACATTCACAGAACTACTGTAACTACTTGCAGGTTTCATTTAGAAATATTATACTTTGAAACTATATTTCTTTTGTCATCATAAAAACATTTAAATACCTAATGATGTAACAATTTCAATGATACCTAGTCTAAGAGACCCAAGATAACAACAGTTCAAGGTCAACAGGTGGGGTCAGGGTAGTAAGTCAACTCCTTCCTCAGTCGGGATCTATCACCGGCCGGCACATGTATCTGTATATATGATGAATTATGTGTTAGTATTACGTTTTTTTGATGTTTCAAAATGTTGACGAATCTGCAAGATGAATTGATAAATGTATCCTTGGACCTGATGGTAGAGCTTAAACGCTCTGAAATGCGCATCGTCCTTTAGTGACTGAATTTAGAACTGTTTTGACTGTATAAGGTACGTAACTTAGATAATACATTAAAATACCCTTCACGTACACAATTTAGTTTCACGCTGCTGTGGAGTGTTAATGAATATATATTTGTATTGAATCAGGGTTTGATTCCACCCAATAACGAATACGTTATTTAGTATTAATATTAATATTAACTCCCGTTAATAAGTAGTATTCGGATCCTTTGTAAATCTATTCTTGACAGGTGAATCTATACCAATACAATCAGACAATAATTAGTTGAAAACAAAAGGTAATTCCTGCACGAATTGGCAAAGCTGGATTAACTTAATAAAATGTATCATAAATATGAAAAAAATGTAAGAAAGAATTATGTAATACAACCTGCATACATCTAACATTACAATTTATGTAGGCAGAAACGGTTTTAAGGTTCTTATTCCATTAGGATTCAAGGAGTGTATATTCTGAAAGCTCTTTTCGGATATTAAATTTAAAACTCATTTCCGGAAAATAAATACTTCTCAAGGCAAGTAGCTGAGAGTTGACATTGTGTTAAATAGAAATACTTCATGAAAAAAGGTATTAAGAAATAAATTTATAAATGAAATTTATGAAATTATATAAAACACTGTGGTTGAACCTTACATATCAAAGCTTTTTACATACAATTTTTTACAATATTATATAAAACTGTGTTTCAATGTGTTTCAAAGATTAGTTATATACATGTATAGAGGTATGACGTATAAATACCCAGTACAGTGTTTAAATATGTGGACAACAATAAAGTCAGAAATATTATGCTTTTTATTTATATGATTATAAAGCAGCATAATAATGTTTCAAATATATTTATTTCTTTATTAAATTTATTTAAACTAACCTCCTTATATAATGCTCATTCCCAAGTATAATTCGATACCTCTTTCCACCTTCGTTAAGTATGAAATAGTGCGATCGATTTCTCAAACTATTAAAAATTTATGAAATGAACCTCTAATAAAAATGTAATTCATTCAACGTAAAAATAATGAAACTACAAAATCGTTTATCTTACGGAAATATTTTACGGATAAAAGTCATTTGGAATCAAACCCCCAATTGATCATTAAAAATGAAGCTCATTATATATTTTATCTCAAATAATTATTATAAACCATTAAAACACGTGGATTGAACTGAATAGTTGCATGTAAAGAAGGTAGGTTTCTGTTTTGCTTTTTTCGATGTGAATCAAACTTGTTATAAGTTTATGATGCTTCGCAATGTTAACACTATAGCAATGTTTAAAGTTTGATATTTTCTTTAACGGCCCATACTAGAAAAATTTAACTTGGCACACCTTTATGTCATGTTATTAAGTACCTTTTAAGCCTAAAAGCCTCTTGGCTCCCAAACCCAAAATGGGGGATTTTGGGGGAAACTCAAAAATTTTTAAAGTTAAGCCCCTCATTCTAAAGGTCATAATAAAAGAAAACTAACAACGCAAACTAGAGGTCTCTATCTTAACACAGTAAAATATTGTAGCCAATCTTACTAATATTATAAATCTGAATGTTTGTGAGTTTGTGTGTATGTTTGTGTGTATGTTTGTGTGTGTGTTTGTGTGTGTGTTTGTTGCTCAATCACGCATAAACTACTGGACGGATTGGGCTGAAATTTGGCATGATGATAGCTCACATTCCCGATTAACATTAAAGCATATTCTTATCTCAAAGACCCTTTCGGGCTCCGCCCCAGTGGCTCTGTAGTTCCCCATGTTAATCTTATGATTTTTAAAAGGAATTAATGAATCTTAACAGCTGTCTCAATTAAACAAGTTGGTTCTGTTCTATCATGTTCAACAGCATAAAAGTTACAAGGATTACCAACAGGGTGCAGCACTATTAATTTTTTTTAAATTTATGACAACAGCTAATTTTTAACCAAAAGGTGAGTGAGAGCGAACGAACTTCAACCTTGAGGCGAGTTAGCGTAGCGAACGAGCTAACCTGAAGGCAAGTGAGCGCAGCGAACGAGCTCCAACCTAAAGGTGAGTGAGCGTAGCAAACGAACTTCAACCAGGACGTGAATGAGCCATGCGAATACTTATGAAGCTAAACGGGGCGAAGCCCGCGGGTACACCTAGTTGAATATATAATTGCTTATTTCTGGTTATTTCTGATTTCTAAAGATTTCAATCAACTTCCATTTTTTACTGGATTGAGATAGAGACCTCTAGTTTGCGTTGTTAGTTTTCTTTTACCAGGACGTTCAAAATGAAGGGTCACTCGATGGAGCTTATTTTTTAAAATTTTTGAGTTTCCCTCAAAATCCCCCATTTTGGGTTTGGGAACCAAGTGGATATTTGGCTTAAAAAGTACTTCATAACATGCCAAAAAGGTGTGTAGAGTTTAGTTTTCCTAATGTGAGCCGTTACAAAATTTACAGGGGGTCTCCCGACTTGGAGAGCTGTAAATTAAATTTAACTTCTGACAATTTCAATTGGCTGCCATTTTTTACTGGATTGAGATAAATACCTCTAGTTTGCGTTGTTAGTTTTCTTTTACCAGGAACTTCAAAATGAGGGGTCACTCAATGGGTCTTTGTATTTAAAATTTTTGATTTTCCCCAAAAATTCCCCATTTTGGGGATGTACACCAAGTGGCTGTTATGCCCAAAAAGTACTTCATAACGTGCCATAAAGACGTGCCAACGTAGTTTTTCTAGTATGGGCCGTTAAATAAATAACAGGGGGTCTCCACACTCTTTACTAACCCTGTACATAAGGTAGGTAGCTTACTGTAACTTTTGTCACGAATTTGTTTTTAACAAAAATAGTGAGTTATATTTGACTAAAGTTTAGTTGACTTGAAAAAGATCATGGGTAATAATACCATCAGCAGATGATACTTGTTAAATAACGGCTCAAGCCAATATTTTATTTCCAGGAAACCACGTGTAAAACATTTTGATAATTCAAATTCAAACCCTAGATTCAATATAAAAAACTAAACGGAACAAGTATATAATTTTAAACTTGAGATAAATATATTGTTACTCGTAAAAATATTCCATACTCACAATCCATTCAAAAATACAAACTTTACAAAACTTTACAAACTTTCCACACAATCCAAACTTTATTATACTCACCCTATGAATTATAGTATAATATCTTTACGTATGCATATGCCTTATGTGCTTAGAATATACATTACTTGATTAGAGCAATTGATTATGACAACCACACTAAAGTAGAATTTCATTTGACTGTTATAAACACCTTTCAGTTAGATCAAGCGACATGGTCTTCAATTATACATGTGCATATTGAGGGATCTTTTACATACAGGAATCAGTCAAATAGCATTGTTACATCTGCCCTATCAGTACAAAATAGCATTAATTAAAAGGTGAATGAAATGTTATTCAATCTTTTCCCATTTTACAATGTTTGCACTATGTAAGCTAATATTGTACAACGTATTCATAAACCGAATTAAATGTATCTTACAGAAATCTATATTTTTTCTAACAAAAGTATGACTAAGACCAATGAAAAAGTAATTACATTCTATATTAATAAAACAATAAATAGAGGCAAAAACTTATTGCTAAGGATCTTTTATGACAAAAATAGTTTCAGCCTTATATTCTTCTTGCAATTAACTAAAGGCCCTAATACAAAACGAATTCAAAACTCATTTATCACAGTTTGTATGAAATGACTTAATCTCATAATGTTTGCATTATAGCTTGTTAAAAACGTAAAATGTTAAATGTGTAACCCAAATCGAAACAAAATGGAGTAAGAAATCGCAAGGGTCGTAGAACCGTTTATCTAGTCTTTTTGGGCTCTATTATATATTTTGATTCATAGCTACACTTTCTTCAATGTGTTGAAATATTTGAGCAACTGATACAATGTTAAATAATCGGAACAAATGTTACATAATCGGAACACTTGTGACAGGTTACATAGTAGGCGTTATTCAACAATTGTAGTTTAAGCACGATCTACTAGTGCAATGTAGTTGGTTTATGTTACTGAACTATGTTGGATAAAGGCTTACTTATTGTACTCTTGGTAAGTTTTTAGATATTAAATCCTTGATGAAATGTTTAATACGAATTTTGGGTATTTCCTAGAAAAGTAAGTTGTAGGTAGTTGTAGGTATAAACTGTAGATAAATTGATCGAAATATAATAAGTTTGTTTGCTTTCTTTAGTCTTAGCCCACAAATGGGATATTTGAATTTACTTTTATTTAGGCCTACCTCATTACCCAGCTAAAATATTTATTGTAGTTTTACTCCTGTTTTATAATGTAATAAAAATAATTCAATAAATAAAAAAAAATATTCAAATCAATCATCTGTATATATTGCTTGACACGAATTATTGGCTTTAAAAAGTTAGCCTGTAAATACAGTATTCTTATCATATTATTAATTATATGTTAAGAGATTGTAAGATACATATATTATAATGATTGTTCTCTTTGGAAGTAAAGCGTACAAGGAATTCGATTTTTATAAATATACTATCTAACCCTACTTTGATATTTGTACCATAATATTACCGTAATTTGATACTTATACCATGATGTTATCATAATGTAATAAATTGTTTATTTTTGAAGGCAATATGCAAAATTAGGTGTTGTTTTAAATAAAGGAGATCATTGCTATTGTGGCAACATCACGCCTAATAATCAGGTTGGGTAGCAGGAAAATATTTCAGTTCTGGCGGATAGGCTGCAATTTTAGGTGGTTATAGTATACAAGTTTCTGACCCTAAAACCACCCAGACCCCAATTTTTAAGGACCTTGGTCGTCCGTAATGACGTCATCAAAATGGCGGCCGTAAGAGGATGCTGGGTCCCCATGAATTGGCTATACAATTCACAATTATTTTCCTCATATTTTTTTTTTTTTTAACAGCCGCCATTTTGAAATGACTTGACGAAACTTGACCATTTTCAACCCAGGCCGAGATAATGTATTCAAGCACTTGTGTGCCAAATTTCATGAATATCGGTTCAGGCATTCGGTCGTTATAGCCAATTCATGGGGACCCAGCATCCTCTTACGGTCGCCATTTTGATGACGTCATTACGGATGACCAAGGTCCTTAAAAATTGGGGTCTGGGTGGTTTTAGGGTCAGAAACTTGTATACTATAGCCACCTAAAATTGCAGCCTCTCCGCCAGAACTGAAATATTCTGCCACTATATGCAGCTATACGACCACACTATAAATCCCCTAAATGTACCCATGCAGCCCTATGTACGGTTAAAATGTAACTCGTGTTATAATTCACAAGAACCTACCCCTAACTCCCGAGTGTATTTCACTATTTAACCATAAACTGTTCCAGGTACTAACTTTATACTACCAACCTGTCATTGGAACATTCCGCAAGCATTTCTTGCATCGAAAAAGGCATGAACCACGAGATCGTGAGGGTGAGATCTAATGAATATTTCAGTATGATTTATAATGTTTCGATTAATATTTTCACAATAATACGCTGCATAACACCCTGCTTAAAGATAATAAAACTAATTTTGCTTGCATTAATAGGCATTCTTATTACAGACTACTGTCATTTTGCATATTAGTTCATTTATTCATCACTCCAACTACAATACAATAATTTACATCTTAATACATAAAGATGGCTAAAAACAAAATATTTCAAGTAAAAACTAATAACAAATGCTAAAACTTATTGGTGTTATCTTACAGTCGTGTGGCTTTTATTAAAATGGTATTTGATCAGTTAAAGAGTGTCATGATCATGGCTTGGAATAACTATTAATTGTTTAAAGCATGTGGCTATAAGTAATCTGTACAAAACATACAAACTAAGGAAATAAAACAGCAGGTAAAAACCTATTCTGGTTTGCATAAGTCCAAGACACCTAATAACTATGTTTAGTTCTGCCAATTCGTTTTAGAAACAACCGTAATTCCTTAATGTTTCAGTGCTTCACTACTACCAATTCCAGAAGAATTTTAGCAGAGATAAATTGATCCTGAACTGCTATAAGTCTTCAGTCAGTGATAGTTACCTTGGAGTGGTTTTGGAAAAAAAAGAGTGGCCTACAAATCAGGTTTATATATTTTCATTGACTGGCAATGGTAAGGAATGTGAAGATCTTTTTAAAAAAGGAAAACATTTTCGTGTCAAAATCAATAAAACTCCGGACCAATATTCACCATACATAACTGTCAATAGCTACGAGTATGGTATTTTGAAACAAAAAGAGGGCTTGGAAGGATATACAACTTTCACATTTGACGGAAAAGTACGCGTGGAAAAGGACGGATTTGTCACAGAAAACGTCGGAGATACAAATGATGACAATTGGGTAAGTAATTATTATAATAAATCTATACATAAATAGGCAAGCATGTTTCTTTAAAACCTTTTTTCTCAGCTCGTGTGCATCACAGAAATCTACAAATACTGTTAGAAAGATATTTTCCTGTAGATGCGCAGAATCCCTTTAAAAATTAAAATAGGCTCAAATATATGTCGTCGGTGTTTTAATTAAATTCGACGAAGTTGATATGAGCCACCAACATATTGCACTAATTTAAATGACAAATTTTTGTCGAATACACTAAGTTTACCATCAAGTCAAACGATCTAAAGCAACTGTTATGACCCGTCAACTTTTCAGCAACAAAGATTTTTATTTTTTCTGTATCCAATAGTCAATACGTGTACGTTACATATTTTTGGTCGAGTTATCGACCACTGGACGACCACTAGTTATTATTAAACAAATTTTTTAACTGAGGTTTTCGATTAGAAATCTGAAAAAGCATTGCATAAATGTATTTTTAGATTTTTTATATATTAACTGTTATGTTATCTATATGGGAGAACATTTATAAAAAATACTAGCTGTGTACCTGTTCTACGGACGGGGATCGTAGTCAATTGAAATCTTATAATCAGATCAGTATTTGGTTTGCATATTTATATACCAACAGATTGCGCTGATTTAAATGACTAATTTTTTTTATACGCCAAGTTTGTTATCAAGTCAAACGAAACTGTTATGACCCATCAACTTTGTCAGCAACAAAAAATAAAGTATAAAAAATAATTTTAGACACGCATTCTGTGACTGGCTCACACAACTACAGTACATGTTTTTACGGTTGGTGATCCAAATAGGTGGAATGTCTTCTTCTGTATCCAATAGTCAATGCGTGTACGTCACATATTTTTGGTCGAGATTTCGACCACAGGACGACCACTAGTTTTAACATTTTTCCGAGATATGCAGACGAAACTTTTAATAGGAATACACATACATCCTCGTAAATACAATATCTGACAGTTTTAAGCCAAAACAAATGTTTAGCAATAAAATTTCACCCGGATATAAATCTTGTTAGTCTATATTTTTTATCCAATGATTTTAAAAAACCCATCTTTATAGATCTAGGATGCATTGCCCTAAGGTAAAATTGAAAGCTACTTCACACACTGGAAAGTAGTTCACCATTGGAAACTTTATTCCGGTTGATATTTTCATTAACAAAGATGCTCTTGTCTTTTCCGCAATACACTGAGAAATAAGCCCTCTAATGCGTTAACAACAGACATACACAGTACACACAAACGACACGATTCCTATCTCCGGTCATACGTTCATAATTGCGTTGATGTGCTCTGGAAAAATCCAAAGTAAGGTTGGCTCTGTTTGCATTTGAAAAGCAAAAAGATGAGTTTGGCTGTTCTTAGTTAGATTCAGACATTGTACTAGATCGATGGTTGCACTAAGACTGAGTGCACTTAGTTGAGTATGAGACATAAAGTACGAGATGGTCCGTAGAAGTCATGCTGGCTCAGTGGTAAAGTCTTAGCTTTGTAAATAGCGATAGGAAAACTAAAAAATCCCATTAAGGTGGCATGATTGTAAACTTATGATTTAAAATTGAATGAAAACCCCATTTCTTTTAGTTCAACGTTTTAGAAACAGATAAGGCGCAAGTGTAAATAACTGTGGAAGTAAATAAAGAAGTGTATACAGAGTGGTTGATAAGCAAGATTTAAACAGACTCGACTCGGTAACCCGGAGGTCAGGAAATACATGATAAGGTTAGCATTTGAGGTCAAGAATGCGATATCTTTGATCTAATTGGTTTTTAATTGGAGGTCTATTGGAGTCAATTGCTGATAAGAGATAACCTCGGGGTCAATCCAGGTACGCGTATCCAGGCAGGCGACTTCCAAGTCATCTGGACGTCACGGGGATTTCCAACTTGAAAGAACAAATCACTACTACTGGTATATCTTAAACAATTTTAAGTGTACCACTATATTGGAAAATGGCGGCTATAAACATATTAATTCATTTCTTTTTCATAAGTAGATAGTTGACGTGCTCCATTGTTTAATGTTTCTTCTAAATCCCAATAATTACTAAAATACCAATGGTGGCATAGTCATGATGTTTACAGTACTCTGCATTTTATACATTCAGCATGTTTATTTTTTAGATTATTCATTCTGGTTTTTCCGATATGATTAGTGATGGAAACCCGAGGGAGGATAACGAACCTGAAGGTAAAATTATTTAAGCATTATTTTCTGTCTTTATGGACTCTTAGAATTAAATAAAATGTCCTAAGGTAGATTAAATGGGTAAAATGTATCTTTTAACACTGATACCCAGCCATTTCGCCAAAATATGGAATAATTAGCACGATGTCCCACATAAAGATGGCGTAAGCCCCCTGTTAACTCTAAAAACTATTTATCTTATTACTTACGTTTAAAATCTCTAGGCTACATCTTTATTTCATTCCTATTATCAAGCTTCTTATGCCACCATAATAATTTAATTCAATCATTTGTTTAGTAATATAAAACTCATCCCCCCTCAACAACCCCCCCCTCCCTCGTGTGTAATTTGCCTAGTGGAAAGCCATATCTTTAAATCAAACTTTACCTGCTAAATTTAGTGTAAACTTTGTTTCAATCCACTAATAAGTGACAGTTATTCATAAATAACACAATCTATACCTATAGAATATGTCTATATTTTATTGATGTCACAGCTGTGACTGAAAATCATCATGTGATTAAGTTTGATTCTTGAATTCGATCATAATGATATTAAAGAGGAAATGATCTAAAAAAAAAACACTTAAATTTCACTACAAGTCAGCGATCTACTGTGGGGGCCACCGCATTACAGATTAAGCCTTTTTGCTAAATGTGTAAACATGAGTAGTAAGGTTATCATCGTTATAACCCTAACGCTACAAACTAGGGTTACATACAGACACGTTTAAATAAGTTCTGAAGTTCCATACCATTTCGGTAAGCATTTTTAAAACAAGATCCCACTTTCAAAATACTTAGAAAATTAAAAAAAAAATATATTCTAAAGTGTACATGTTTGTCTTTTTCAGTTCCTGAATATTTTCTACATGTCGACCAGTTTTTACATGTCGACCAGTTTTTAAATGGAGATAACCTCAAATTGGATTGCTTCAAGAGTCAATACAGTGACCTGTTTCTTGGAGTCATCTCTTACGACAAAGGAGATAATGAACCAATGCATATGTTCTCGATCACCGTGAAAGCACAGACGTGCAAAGATTTGTTTGCCGAAGGAAGATATTTTCGTTTCATTGAAGATAAATATGAAGGGCTAGAATTTAAATATTCAATTTTAAACAAAGTCAACGAAAAAGAAGTCTACAACGTGTATAAAGTCTACGATGACCGGATCGGTCATAAACGTGTAGAGATGGCACGTGTCGAGTTGACTGAGCAGTTTGGTGATTCTGATGATGATAAATGGGTAATTACCTAGATGTAAGGGTTACCTCCCGCTATCTCCGCGTCCCGCCACCTCCGTGTCCCGCCACCTCCGAATTTCAGAGTGACCCCTATAATCCTCGGTTACTACATGCGTTAAGACTTTCCGTCCTAACCTAACCTAACCTAACCTAACCTAACTTAACCTAACCTTACCCACGGGTTATATTTTCATTAAATCTTCCATCCACGGGGATTTGCATCCGTGGATGCAATGACAGCTACCAACGCAGGCAATGACGCTATTATAAGGGTCACTCAAGAATTCGGAGGTGGCGGGACAGATTTGGGTTCGGAGGTGGCGGAACGCGGAGATAGCGGGAGCACACGAATATATTAAACTGTTACGTTTACATAATACTTGTTACAATAATCAATACGCTAAATAAACGGTGAATCTTCATTATGTCGAAACACAATAATTGTTTTAGTAATTAATTGTAAGAAGCTAATATGATTTTATTTATGGCTATATTCTTTTATTAGACATTATGATACTATTACCTAAAACTATTTCTATGATTAAAAATTGCCATGATAGCATTGACGATTCGCGGACTGAGGAGCGTCTCGAATCCGCCCTAATGTGAGGCTATAGAACAATTTCGCCAAGGTAGGACGGGGCTGCGTCCAGGTACCAGAGGCGCCTGGGTCTGACCCGTGCAAAGAACTAATCCCCTACTCACAGAGTAGAACAAGACAATTATAGTCCTCGCCACCCTAAGTTGAGGCAGCCCAAGGCCGCACGGCGTTTATCTTGTGCGGCCTTAGGTATCTAGTGCCTCAACTTAGGGTGGCGAGGACTATAATTCCTGGGTCAAGCCTGCGTGTAATTCCCATTCGTCGCGCCTCGATGGACACACCACTTAAAAGTGAAAATGTAAATAGTAGTTTTGAACATATTATTTCTTAGTATAAACAAAACAAGATACTGTATATTGTATTCGTTGTTATCTTAACAAGTTGGACCTATGAGCAAATTTGCGAATTTGAATAAGGTCAAATCTTTATTCCAATTTAAAACTTGTAATGTTATACCATAGCCTCTAATAAACAGAATTTGTACTAGAGGAGGTTATGGTTAGGTTATACCCTTTTACTTTTCAAATATTATGGTTTAAAGACATTTATTAGGTCAATGAACCTGCTAATTTACATATATATACAATTATTGCTTTTAGACGCACACCATAAAGAAAATAATGTTATTTACCTAACCCTTAATTCAGTTGCAATTTAAAAAAAATCTATTTAAAATCCATTTCCATAGAATGTTTCGTCTCTTGAATACAATCTGTGGTTAAACATTCAACTGTGGGATCAGCCTTTACATTAAGCTAAAATTCTAATTCAAACTGATAAAAGGACGGATCTTTTAAGCAAATTTGGATCTTGGAAAGTGAAAGTGTACAGCCTTGTAACACAGAATGCAAATTTAAGTTTTAAAATGTCTTGGAAAAATGGGCGCACTCGAACAACGCACAAAAATGGAGGTCGACACATGAACCGTGCAAATAAGGTAGGGATCCATCAGACACCCCTTAACTACGTACATATACCCTTACAAGAAATCTCATGGGTGATTAAACGATTAAACAAAGGGCGACAAATAGTAAAGAATAGCTAACTTGTCTATTATACCATTACAATGGTGGATGTTTGTACCCTATGCACTTTGCATATGCTAACAAATCTATATTTTTATTGTTTTTTAGAGTGTCCCTCTCCTCCTTGGTCTTTCTCCTGTTCTTTCGGACGCCCGTTGTGTTTAGACGCACACATGCGTCTATCTGCATTGATTAAAGTTTTTTTTTTTTAAGCCTGAATCAATGGTGTAGTCACTAGTCACTTCTTGTTCTACCCTTGTAAGTAGGGGATTAGTTCTTTGCACGGGTTTGACCATATATGTGAGTGTCTTCAAAAGCAAAATAGAAGAAGTAAGACATCAAATTTATACAATGTATACTTATGTATTTGGTTTTTTCAGTTGACGAAATTGGAAATTGAAGACAATAGGGAGAAAAGGAGACTCCACAAAAAGTTACAAAAATATAAGGGAGGATAACTATAAAAAAGGACCAATGTAACAGCTAGTTTTCAACCAACAAATAGTCAAATGAATATGAATAATCGACCAAGGTAAAGCTGTTTGCAGAACATAGTTGTAAGTGTCTACCGATGCTAAAACTGGTGTTATTGTGCCTAAAATCTTTGATAAATTTAGCCTACCTACCACATAATACAATTTTTGTATTGAAATAAAGTACAACAATATTCATATTTAGTTTATGCTCTATAATTTCCTAAAGTGACATAGTTACAATATTCAAGTTAATTCCGTTTGCAAAGTCAAAATGTGTTTTTTTTCGTATTCCTTACCTAGGATTTTCTTCAGAGGTTATACTATGCATGAAGATTTTAATAATTTTTATGGGCCATGTTTGTTGTTAAATATTGCTGACCACTTGATTTTTCTTTAGTACAAAATATCACTTCTCATTCGATTTTGATAAAACGAGTAGGTTTGAATAGTTATCAGATGCATGGAATGATGTCAAATGATAGTTTGCCGGTAAAATCACGAAGCATAAGCCTAATGCTACATTACGGACTTTAAATAACATAGTAGCAATCAGTGCTGCTAATAGATACGACTTCAGGTATTAAAACACTATTGTTTTAGTTCAATATTTAATTTATTTTAAACCAATCAAGTAATTAAAGTGTTTAAATTAGTGCCATCTAAATGTCACATTCGTCTGATTTAAGTGGACAAAATATTACTTCTGCAAGTAAAGTGTAATAATTATACCAGATAAACTATTTTTCTAAACATGGACGAAATAAAATGCCTACAGATATCTATATATATAAAATACAAAGCCCTCACTGACTCACTGACTGACTGACTCACTCACTCACTCATCACTAATTCTCTTACTTCCCATTTACCTAAGAGGCTGAAATTTGGTACACTGATTCTTTAGGTATTAAATAGGAAAACTAAGCTGTTTTTATTCTGATCGGACTCTCGGGCTCCGACCAGTGGCTCTGGATTTTCCCATGTTAACCTTATGAGTACTCATATTTAAATGGAATTAATGATTCTTAACAGCTTTTTCAATTAAACAAGTTGGTTCTGTTCTATGATGTTCAATAGCATTAAAGTTACGAGGATTACCAACAGGGTGCAGCACTATTATTTATTTTACATTTTTGACAACAGCTAATTTGCAACCAAAAGATGAGTGAGCGTAGTGAACGAACTTCATCCTGGAGGCGAGTTAGCGTAGCGAACGAGCTAACTTGAAGGCAAGTGAGCGCAGCGAACGAGCTCCAACCTAAAAGTGAGTGAGCATAGCGAACGAACTTCAACCAGGACGTGATTGAGCCATGCGAACGAGCTCACTTATAAAGTTAAACGGGGCAAAGCCCGCGGGTACAGCTAGTACTACTACACAGGGTACAGGGTGTTTCTTTAACGCAACCAAAATTACAAGCACCATAAGACAATTCAACGACAAATCACGCTCTCATTTGGGTATCCCTGTATAATTTTTATCATTGCATTTCAGCTAATGTGCATTTTTGCATAGTTATGAATGCGTTTTAGTGTTGTTGGAAATTTATTGTGATGCTAAAGCACAATATTCTTTTCGTGTATAGTAATTGCCTTCGTCGCTAAAACTAGTTTTCGTAAGTACTAGGAAAAATAAAATATACGCTTATACATACTGTCCACATTGGTGACAAGTTACTTTTCATACTGTTTCATGAACTCCTTTTTCTCTCAAGGAGCACCCTGATTTTCTACACTCAGTTCATGCACTGTGTCTGCTCTTGTCTCTTATTCTCTTATAGCGTTAGATTTTTTCTCAGTTTTCCTGTGACTTCTATATTCTTTTAATACACGTACACCACAGATTGTACCTTTTTGTCAAGCGGTAAGTTAGAACCGAAAATCGGAGAAACGTCAGAATCGGCTTCCTTATCACGGGTGTGCAGCTTAAACCTTGGAGTTTCCCAGGGCTGGGTCTCCCCAGCACCGAGTTTCCAGGGCACCTTTGTTTTTTTGGGGGTAACGGGTACACCATTTTTGCTCGGATGAAAGGAAACAAAAGTTCCTGGACTATAAAGAAACTATCATCTTTCTGTAGTAGTTCTAAAATATGTTAAAGTTTAAATTGATCCATAAACAGTTCTAATCATTGAATTTATTCTCAGTCATATGTATTATCACCGTACGTAACATTTGATTTAAACTATATACATGTTTGGCAATCAATAACTTCCCGATGTTACACGAATTGTACCAAATTACTTCAGTAACTAATTATTGTAAACTAATCAGTGGTAATTGCATTTTTTCCACTTGGTTTTTCCTTTCAGTGAAATAAGGTCTTTCGTCGTTAGAAAAACAATGTAGGCCTATGTGTCATATTAAATTGCATATAAAATTAAAATATGTAACTTACAATGTAATTTACATTATTGGTAAAAACTGTAATTTTAACTACATGTTTATAGTTTATACCAGGACTAAATATTGGAGTTACACGATATGTGTTGTATTATAGTTATAAATCACAATTAACGATGTGTATTAATAATTTGTAATTACTCAAATTAACAATTTGTATTGTTAAATGTAATACCTATTTAAGTCATTACCTAAATTACCATAAATTCCATTTTGTATTTTTTTTTAGTTAAAAGTATTTTTTTTTTTCAGAATTGGAAAGATGTAAACCATTATGAAAACTAACAGTCTTATGAGGCACCTAAAATATGGCACTCTAAAATACAGTTTATTAAGAGTAAGTTAGAGGTAGCATTTAGATGTGTGAGATTTTAATATTATAGAGTGTTTAATTGCAATAGCCTAAGTCTTAATACAAAATAAATTCACAACTCTAACATGACACAAATTCCATATTTTTTTAAGAATATCTTTAAGTTATGGACAGAAACAAGCCATTCTGACAACAGAAGTAATTTCACCAGCAGACAGTTTTAGATAAGACCTAAGATAAGGAACGTCATCAGATACTTGAGGAGCCAACTTGGCAACTTTGTTTCTTGTTTCCAGAGTCTCGTTTCAAATACAACGTTCTTGTTGTATAACTACAATCCTCGGGTTTTCAGTTAATTTTTCAAAATATAAAATAAATTATTCTTATTTTGGGAAAGTGATATTTAGCCGTACAAATAAAACTATTTACATTACTGCAGAGAATTACCTTTTAACGAATTTCCCATATGGGGAATAGGCTATTACCGTAGTACTCATGGTAAGACCTGGACCCGAGACCGATTTATTTTTTAGTTTTGAGGTCCCTAGAGGCCAAAAACACCATCCGTTCATATATGTATATATGTGTGTCCGTTAGCACTGTAACTCGAGCAAAAATGATCCGATTTTGATGAAATTTGGTACAAACGTGTAAACCCACATTTATTCGAACGAGTTCGCAAACCAGCATGATCGGACTATGGGAAGGGGGGTTTATGGGGTAAAAATAAGGTTTTCCCATTTTTGACCCTAAAAACACACAATTTTACAATTTCTTTCCAACCCATTTTGTAGAGCTTAAAAAAGGAATAATTTAGTATATTGAAGCGTTATTGTGCTCCTAATTGTTACGGAGAAAATTCCAAAAAATTGTAAATTTAAAATCCCCATGTTATTCTTAGGGAGAATAAGTCAACTGTTGTAGTTTGCTTGTTTATAAACATATTTTGATCGAATTTGGAAAATACATTCATTTCTTACTAAGCTATTAACATTTAAAAAAACTCCACTAGAGAACTAGTAGCTCTACACTTACCTACTCACAGCAAAATGGTTTTTTGAGTTGGGACTTTTCCCCTTGGATCCACATTGAAACGTGTACTGAACAGCTACACGGGAATTTCCACTTTTAAAAACACTTCTACTACAAATACATGTTGCTCAGCTATCCCACGGCTCCGTGGCTACTAAAAATGTCCACACGTTGGCTTTGTAACGCCCCTATTCCCACCACCCTTCGCCACTCATTCGCTCTCACAGAGCGGCAAAGAAAACCGTCAGATCATTTTGCCGCTCCCTGTATTTTGGATGGCAAATTAGAATTATTTAGAGAGTTTTGTGTAAATATTGTGTTGTATGTATTTAATTAGGTGCTAAGACTAGCTCTGTGGTTAATTTGCCAGATGGTGGACCAGAAACCGGAAATCAGACAGCCTGTCTGAGCCCTAATCTATGTTTGTTGCTACCAAAATTAACTGAGATAACCAAATTGGAAATCTAGCTGAAGACCAAAAGTAGATCTTTTACCCAGACCATAAAGCAAGCAAAGCCAGGTGTTATTGAACTTACTACAGTAATTGATAGCTTATTGAGCGGAGCTCTTTGAGATCGGACCTTATGCAAACTATGTAATCAATTAACTCAATAACTGCTGAACATATTGAATCAAAACTTACCAGGGGTATTTCGACAAATATTTTTGATGTTTCGAAACAAACAAATTTCAATTTGATGATACTTGTACAATTTAAGACTGACATAAAATTTGCAATGTTTAACATGAGTCTTATGAGTTGCCATGATGGTTACGAGGTAACAACGTAGATGTAAACAAAGAATCGTAGCGTATGCGACTCGACATTCTGTACCCACGGGCACCTCAACTTGCACATGGACATATGGCCTATTTATAAAAGACAGTAGAAAAGAAAAGGAGTCCGATGAATACCATTAAGCGTTGATTAACAATACACTGATTCGCATAATTTCTGGCGGCCTTACTGAATTATTCCAAGCAGATTATTTCTTTTAATTGTTGTTATTGCTATTAGTTTTGTGGTAAATATTAGTTCGGAGTGTGGTAACTTTTTATGACGATTAGATTAAGGTATCCTAAAATGCTATGGGAAGGGAGGGAAACAGGTCCGCGACGTAGGAAGTCGTGAAGGAAGCAGTAAAGATGAGCGGTCCGGAGTGTGGGAACTGTTTATGACGATTAGATTAAGGTATCTACAATCCTAAAATGGTATGGGAAGGGAGGGAAACAGGTCCGTGACGTAGGAATTGGTGAAGGAAGTAGTAAAGGTGAGTAGTCCGGAGTGTGGGAAATATTTATGACGATTAGATTAAGGTATCTACAATCCTAAAATGCTATGGGAAGGGAGAAAAACAGGTCCGCGGCGTAGGAAGTGGTGAAGGAAGTAGTAAAGGTGAGTAGTCCGGAGTGTGGGGACTATTAATGATGAT